TGTCATCACGTTCTATTAGTTCTACAGCTTCAGTTTCGGAACTTTCACGCTTAGTAACACATACAGCTGTTACCTCACCACAGTGCAACAGTGAAAAGGGACCCCTTTCAAACAGTGTCGCGTTCCGAACGTTTTTTAAGTGACATACACCGGTATTTTAAAAATTCATATCATAACAAAAATAAACACCGGTATTCTGTATGAACCGGTATACCGCCCAGCACTAGCGGGGCTAAACAGGCAGTGCTGTAGAAGCAGGTGTTGATGATCTTCTGCGGAGGTGGAGTTTAGCCACACTACTATCTCAAAGTCGTTTTGGCAGACTGGCTTCAACATAAGCTGTTTTTAGACTAACGAGAAAGTTTTGAGTTCTGAAACTTATGTTTTTATAGTACAATGACCTCATCTGTCAAAAGATCAAGAGAATTTAGATTTCTCAGTTCATGACCCCTTTAAATGCCCTTACTGACAAGCCTGACAAGGTGAGTTAGACCATACTTTTAAGTCACATAAATGAAATGTTACCACATTTTTGTCTAGTATTTTCATTTAGTAAAAGTCAGGGCTAATCACTAGCCGATGCTGATAATCTCATACGTATACGAGCCAAGTCTTCACCGAACATCTCTGGAATGCCTGAACGCCAGATGTCTCAACTGACCAACTGTGATCACATCACCTGATTTTGATGTAAAAGTGTAAACAAGGCCGATGTGAAGAATCATCTGAACTCAATAACAAAACATAACTGAACTGTTTGCTAAAGGTATCTGCTGGCAAATTATGATGGCTGGACAGAAAAATGAATAAGTGGTCAGAGACAACTGTTCAAATATAAAACAACAAAAATGCAAATAAATACAAAACAGCTGAGCACCACTGCAGTCAAAACAAAGCAACAATGGCTACTGCCAACAAAAGCAGTGAATCTGATGTACGTTTTCTACATTTTTAATAAACTTTTGGACATCTAAATGGCTTTACTGTTGTTTTTCACCCTGCTGATGTTGTAAATGTGAAATCCAGGGGCATTTAAAAGGCAAGCATTTTCTAAGACTCTGCAGGACAACTCATTAAAAAGGCTCCAGATGCTAAAGGCTAAACATTTTACTTAAAAATAAAAAAAATACGCAAGTGGTGCTTGTTTGTGGAAATCTTGCTTGCTATTACTATGGTGTTCTGTAGGGCTGCACGATATATTGAAAATATCGAAATATCGCAAATGTAAATATCGCGATATGCATATCGCAAGGGCGTGCAATATCTGAATCATTTTAATAATAGGCTACTTAAATCAAAACGTTGCAAAAGGTCAAAGTTTTAGTTCGAAGCACATAGCAGAGAATTGCTTGACGTTAAAATGTTAAGTGCAATAAGTTGCAGAAAACAACTCTTTGCCGTCTCGTCTTGCTGTCTGACAGACTCACACCTGAAGCGCAGTGAGCGTATCTTCCGTTCTGCCGCACACGTGCAAAGCGCGCGCACACACACACAGAGAGAAGCGTTTCAGACGGCGCGCGAACACCGAGTTGATTCGTCTTTCGCATCTCCTCCTTATGTTTGAACAGACACATACACACAGAATTGTCAATAGTACCCGTCTCGACGAT